AGGGCCCACCATGGTCATTTCCAGACATGTTCCTGGATGCTGTCACTTGGGTAGCAGGCAGGACTAGTGCCCCCCTATCCACCCCCCACCCCGCAAGGATTTTCCTGGATTCTTAGCAGACCCTTCATTACAAATACCACCTGGCTTTTTGCTGAAGTGACCACCATTTCATATCATTGGTGTTTCTCTATGAGAGTACTGGCAATAGCACTTAACGTCCTACGCTGTAATTATGCTGTTTGTCAAATCGACAAGAATGGTAGACCTTAACCCTAGCTATACACTATACATGAGAATCACCTGGGGAAGTAAAAAAACCTAACAGGTTCCACCCCAGAGCTTCTGATTTAATTAGTCTGGGGTGGGAGCCAGCATGTTCCCCTCCCTGAGTGATTCTAATATGCATTCAGGGCTGAGGCTCTGCGACCCCTGACACGGTAGTATGAAGGTGAGGGCAGGGATCTCTGCTGACGGGACCTCAGGGTCAGCAAGATTCTGAAACTGAGCAGACTTTCAGCCCCCACTCCAACTGGAGTAGGACTGACTTTGTTAACCTTTTTAACCCTCAAAATCCTCATCTCTAAAATGAGACCCACCTAATAGTGCGATTTTGAGAATGAAATGAGATTCCGCTGTGACGCTCTCAGCCTACCCCTGGCACCCAGCAGAAGCTCAGCCAATGCCTGTGAGGGAAACTGCTCGAGCAGTGAAAGCCAGTGGCTTCGGGAGTGAGAAATTCTGAGTCCTCATTTCTGGTCTGATACAAACTAATTGTGTGACCTTGAGCAACTCTGCTCCCAAAGTTCCCTTTGATCCCTTCCAGCTTCAGAATTCTTTCATTCCATGATACCCGTAGACAATAAAACTTTGTAAGTAGCATGTGGTTTGAATAATTTGCCCACAAATTTATAGTCCTCAATTAAACCAGACAGTCAAGAGTCATTTGACAATGGGGACATGTTGTGAGATATGTGTCTCTGGGTGATTTTGTTGTTGTGTGAACACCGCAGAGCACTCACACACACCGAGACGGCAGAGCCTACCACACAGCCACGCTGAATGGGACCACTGTCACATACATGGTCCCTCGTTCACTGAAACGTCCTTATGTGGCACATGACTGTAGTTAAAAGTTGAGATAATCCAAATTGAGCCCAATATATTTTTAATTCAAGAGGGGCTATTACATGGATATAGCAGCTTTTGTATCACTTAGTCTTGGATGAGTGATTGACACCACCTACTTGTACTTACAGATTGTTAAATTCTTGATATTAACTCATTTTCCTAGGGCAACTGCAGAGTTTGAGTTGTTTTTCTACATCTGATGATAGATTGGCAATATTATTATTAATAGTTATCATTTCTAAGTGCTTTACAAATATTAGCTCATTTGATCCTTGCAACAACCCTAGGAGGTATGACACTTGGCACAGGGAGCCTGAACCCGGAAGGCTGACCCGAACCTCCAAACCAGCTGAGACCTTTCCTGCACACCCGGCTTCATGGCGGTGTGCTACCCAAACTAGCTGTGAGGCTGTGAGGAGTGGCAGGTCTCCCCTCTGGAAGGGACCTTCCACTCCTTGAAGTGGGGGTTCTTTTGAGCATTCAGGTTCTGTCCTAGGTGCTTCCAGCACTGAAGCCTGCAGTTTCTTTGCCCAAGGACAGGGGCGCAGAAGCACAGGGCATGGGCAGCCTTGGTGGCAATTTACTGGGGTACCAGGAATCTAGGAAATGCTCTGAATGCGGCTTCAGCATCTCTAGACCTGATCTTTATGGCTCCCCATGTGACGGGAACCAGCAGCGGGACTAGAACCCTGGAAGGCAGGGGCCCCAGCTCTCCAGTGATGAGCACTGGAATGATAGAATTGATGAGTTGGAACCGCTGCCATCTGCAAGCCCCCATCAGGCCCCCCGCGTCCCCCACCCCCCCTGCATCATTTGCCTATCTCTGCAGACTTGATTAATCTGCTGGAGATCTTCTTTTAGGCAGAGTTGTCGTTTGTTGATTTTTTTAAAAGGTTTTTCTTCTGTCTTCCTTCTGTTCTACTAGCACTGCTCCACTGGCCACCCCTCCAGCACCGTCTATACATCCATGCAGGCTGGGGCATAGGCCTTTTAAAACTCCAGGTGGACAGCCCTCTTCTTAAGTTAATGCCCATTGATGGAGCTTCTCCTCCGGTGCCATAGGAAGGAGATGGGAAGATCAAAACCACATGGACCCTACACTCAGGGGTTTACAATCCAGTGAGGGTGTCTGGGCAGGTGACTGAGTCCTGACAGAGCCATCAAGGCATGGAGCAGAATTCTGTTCTTCCCTTCTGCAGATCAGCTGGGGAACGCCAAGACCACTTCAAATAAAAATTCTGCGTTGGATTAACACAATGGTTCTCAAACTTTTACACTCAAAAAACTTGGAGGATCCCAAACAGCTTTTGTTTCTGTGGATTATAGCTACTAAATCCCGTATAATATAGCCTGTATTAGAAATTAAAACTGAGAAATTTTCAAAACAAGACTACACAAGCATATGATCCCTTATTTGTCAGAGCAATATTGTCACACATGATGCAGCTTCTGGAAAATTCTGTACACGTGTGAGAGAATGACAGTGAAAAAGACAAATAACATCTTAAAATTTTTATGAAGAGAGTTTTGACTTTGTAGATAGCCTGAAAAAGCCTAGGGGATCCACGGGGTCCCTGAGCACACTTTGAGAACCGCTGGGGTATAGCATATAGGTTCTTTCAGCATCAAAGATTTGAAGATTCTAACAGAGTGCCTGGAAGTCTGCTGAGGCCTTGATCAGTGACAGGAAAAGCTCTGTTAAAAAGTCCTTGGTAAAGTAGGAGAGGAGGAAAGTAGCTTTTCTTTTACTCTCTCAGATTCTATTCTTGGGACCTGCAAATTAAACTGACAAAAGCCACATTAACAGGAGAAAAGGAATACAAGTTCTCTTTGATGTGAATATTTAATTTTTACATGCATGGAGGCCTTCATAGAAAATTGAAGACCCAAAGAAGTAGATAGACTAGGTGCTTATGTACTATTTTAGCAAATGGTGATAAACTGTGGAGAAGTGACAAGACAAAGGAAAAGAGGTATGAGCTTCTGGGGCCCTCAGTGTGGGAAGGTGAATGTGGGGCTCTTTTGGTAAGGCTGTCTGCAGACCCCACTCAGCGGCTGGCTGTCCCCCGTGGTAAGGGTGGCCCTCCGCCTGGTGTGGGGGCTGGAAGGGGACACTTTCACAGGCAGAGAGGTGCGTCCTGCTGCCAGGCAGGTAGGAGCAGGGCAGAGAGCTCCGTCTGTGTTCGCTGCTCCCTAACTGCCTTCGGTTTGAAACAGTCCTTCTGCAAAGTGGCATATTTCCAGGGTGGCATGTTCCAATGCCTGCAGTAGACGATAGTGAGACGGGCGATCCTAGATACTGAGGGAACAGTACCTAAGGGTCTCCTCTCTGGGAGTCCTGGCAGTGGACCGTTTGGTGAGGCTGCACACGGTTGCTCCGAGGCCAGCGATCAGGGCGGTACCCTGAGATCTAGCGCCCCAGGGCCAGGTGGTCTGCAGCAGGGCGGGCGGGCAGAGGCCTGCCGGGGAGCCTGCTGCCCAGGGACCAAGGGCAGTGCCGCAGAGCTGCCACCAGCAGGCGGGGAGGTCCCTGGGCTGGGAGAGTGGTCTGGGGCGAGTGACGGGGGGCACGAGAAGAGGCCCCCTGAGCACCCAGCTCCTGTGAGGCCAGGGGATCGGGAGCCAGAGAGCTGACTCCAGTGAGGAGAAGGCACTTTCCCTTCAGGATGAAGAGGCCGCTCTTGGCTCCCTCCTGCCTCCCTCTGCCTCTGCTCCCTGAACCCTGTCAGCCCTGGCTCTGGGCAGAGCCACTGTCCCCTAGTCCAGGACTAGCAACCCTGTAGCACCGAGGCCACCTGGGATGGGGCCACCTACCTACACATTGGCTGCCCCCGTCCCTGCTTATCAAGTCCAGTCACCTCTCCAGGCCCAGCCTTCCTCAGGGAGAGCCACTCTGAGGCTACCCAGTGACGGGGAGCCCCTTCTTCCTCTACGATCCCTATACCTCTGTTTAGCACTTAATTCTTCCTGCTTTGTTTATAAAGACGGGAGAGTCTGTCCTCCAAAAACTCCTTGACGGCAGGCATCCTGCTCGTTAGCATGTCTTCCTCCCTTCCAATGCCCGGCACAGTTCCTTACACACCACAGGTCCTCCATTCATGCTGTAGAAGTGACTTGAACCCCGGTGTCTCCCCATCCTCCCTCGCCTACAGTCTCTGCAAAAACTCCCACATCTTCTCCTGACCTTCAACTGCCAATGCACACACCACTGTGTGCAGGAGTAAGGCCCCACCCCGTGACAGGGGAGGGCAGAGGGAGTTGCAGGGGAGGCACCCAGCCCCCCTCCAGCCCCAGTCCAGTGCCTCTCCCAGCAGGCTGGTGGGGCTTGACCTGCTAGGTGGGCATTTCAGAGGAGACTCCTCTACCCCCCCCCCGCCCCCCCGCAAGTGTCATCTTCTCCACTGCCCCTTCCTCCTGTGTCTTACCTACTGCCCACTCCTGGCCCTTCTCCCTCTGCCCCAACCATGTCACTCTTGGTGTCCCTGGTGGCTGTGGTCACCTCAGGGACGCTTCACACGGGCTGGGAGAGTGGGGAGAAGAAGCAGGTCCTTGGACCACTCTCTGGCTCCTGTCCTCTCCCTAGCTGACCTGTCCTTCGTTCATTATATGAGTACTGATGGAGCACCCGCCTGTGCCAGGCCCTCTAGGTGGAGGACCAGCAAGGAACAGGACAGGCAGAGCGTCCAGCCTCATTGCATCTGAGAGCTTTCCCCCAGACGGGGCCAGGACTTCTGATAAGTGTCAGAGACCACCGAGGGCATTGAACAAGGAGACTGCAAAGCCCAGCCTAGTTTTAGAGACCATTGGTTATTGTGAATGAAATTTGCTTTGGTCCCCTCTGATGTTCAGTCGGGACGGTGCTTCCCTCCCAGGTGTATGAACTGAACGGGATGGTCCATAACCGAGAGTGGTCAGTGAAGACTTACAAAGAAGTGGCTTGTATGTTTGCGAAAAAGCATCCTGGGTTTATTGGAATCAAAATCATTTATTCGGATCACAGGTGAGAGAGAACGTGGCTGAAACTGCAAGAGTTGGCAGAAGGGGATGTGGGCAGAGCTATCAGGCCGGGAAGGGAGAGGGGAGAAAGGGGTGAGAAGGGAGGCTGGGAGCCAGAGGTCAGAGATCCCTTGATGTCAAAGAGCCAGGGCTCACTGTGTGCGCTTGCGTGTGAGTGCAAAACTCAGTATCTGAGGGACCGGCTCTGTGGCGCAGTGGTTAAGTTCGTGCACTCCGCTTTGGTGGCCCTGGGTTCACAGGTTCGGATCCCCGGCAGGGATCTACGCTCCGCTTATCAAGCCATGCTGTGGCAGGTGTCTAACATATAAAGTAGAGGAAGGTGGGCACGCATGTTAGCTTAGGGCCCATCTTCCGCAGCAAAAAGAGGAGGATTGGCGGTGGATGTTAGCTCAGGGCTAATGTTCCTCCAAAAAAAAATCAGTATCTGAAATCACTTCTAGTTTGAATCTTCACAGCCGGACTGAAATGAAGAACTGTGGCAATTTTCCAGATAATTCTAGGCTGTGACCCCACATTGGCCTGGTGACTCAGTTATAGCTATAATGCTTTTGCCTAAATGTTTGGATAATTGGCCCTTTTCTTTGTTTCAGTTTGCCACTGGGGCTCTGTCTCCTCTCAGCCACGTGCTCGCTGTGTGTGGCTGTGTGCGATGTCTTGGTTGGTGACGGGCCCTGAGTGACAGCTGTCTCAGTGTCTGTGTGTGGGGACCCCACAGCAGCATGGTGGTGTGGAGGACCCACTCCTTCCCCAAGCAAGTGCAGAAAGCCTCATAGCTTAATTTTCCTTCTGATTTTACCAAAGGAAGAGCTCTCCTCTCTTGTCAATGAGTAGCCAGCAATGGCCTGTGGCACCCAGGCTGGAGCCGCAGGGCAGCAGCCAGAGGGGATCAGCTCCGTCAGGCTTGGGCAGGGACAGGGCCGGCACCCCCATTTGTCAGCCCACCATGGGGCTGGGCTCCACAGGACAGTGAGACTTCCAGGCACTGCCCCCTGCCACGGCCCCTGAACACCCTCCCCTCCTCTGGGGCCTGCACCTGTGGGCTGGTCAGCCAGGATGGAGCTCACAGATGGGCCCACTGGTTCTGCTTAGAGGCTCTCTGGGGACCAGAGGCAGGAGGGCGTGAGGGCTGAGCCGAAGTGGTAAGTGTTCCCCGTGTCCCCTCAGGGCGCTGCGGGAGAGGGAATGGGCAAGTGTGGGGAAGAGGAGGCAGGACAAACTTTAGGTCACAGAACTGAGGATTGGAACGAGTGAGCCAGCTGCTGGCAGGGACCTTCGTCCTATCGCAGGTTGTGCCAGGCCTTTTCTTTTGGTGTTTTGTTGTTATGCTGCTTGCCTCGTCCCTGTCCTGGACTTGAAGAGAGAGGGTACAGAGGGAGGTCAGACAGCTTGGTTGTATGATTTCTGGAGTGCCCAGGGTCCTGCTGATTTAATCAGAGGAAGAGGACAAGTAGTTGCCAGGTCCAGCTGACTTGACAGGGACTTGGGTGACCTGTGGCATTTCACAGGTGTCCAGTGAACAGAGAGCTGGCCTCTGTACTGCACCGATTTCCAGGCCCCACCCTCTCAGGGATGCAGGACAAGTTTTGGACAAGGCCACTTCACTTCATCCAAATGTAGATAGATAAAGCTTGTCCCATGGGCCCCTTTGCCTCACCTCTTTTCAGAGAATGTGGGTCCCTCTGGAGCCAGCCAGAGTCCTTGACAGAGAGGGATGTGGCGAAATAGCTCTCAGATGTAGCCACTTAAAGGGATCAGAACAGCCCTGTGGGGACAGGGTGATGCGGGTTTGGGAGATGGTTGCTGTGGACCTTGGACTAGAGTAGCCATAGGCACCGAGGGAGCCCTCTGGGGTGCACAGCTCTGTCAGTGCTGAGCCATGCTGTCTCTCTTGCAGATCCAAAGATGTGTCCCTCATCATGGAGTCCGTCCGAACAGCCATGGTGCTTCGAGCCCTGTTCCCCAGGATGGTGGCAGGATTTGATCTGGTAAGGGACTCTGCCCACAGCAAGGCTGTCCGAGGGCGGGCCCAGCAGCAGCTCTTGGTGAAGGGCCAGGCAGCACCCACTGAAGCCCTCTGCAGAGGCTCAGGCTGCCACCCACCGGCCTGGTCAGAGTTCAGCGCTGACCCTCTCTAGGGGCCTGCGAGGGGATGACAGAAATGGCTGGATGGCTAAAAGGGGAAGTTCCAGAATAAGGAAGGCATTCAGGGAGTTCGGACAATAGTGATAGGCTTGTTCCCCATTCCCCTGCCTTCTGCCCACACTGCTCCCCTCCATCTGGCCCTTCCAGCTGCGGCACATGGGGTCGTGTCTGGAAGCAGAGATGGGGCTCGCCCTGGCAAACTGTCACGGCTGTGAAAGCTGTCCCTCCCCTCGCCTGCCATCGCTTCCCCAGCTGTTTTTGAAGCTGCACATCCATACCCCTCACACCCACAAATCAAAGCTGTAGCCAGATCCTAACAGCCAGGCCACACTTCCCAGGTGACAACTCATTAATCTCATTAAGGAAGCTAAATTAATTTGGACTAACTGGCTGAAAGGCACTCCTGATTCCTTCTCATAGAATCTGTACATTTTACCCCACACTGTGCTTAAGCTCCTGCTTTCAGACCAGCCGGAGCCCAGACGACTGTCTCTCAAGGAATCATTTTGTTTGGACCCAAGGCGTCCTCCTGGGACCCTTGAGCTTTGCTCAAAGGACCCGCCTCTCCAGAAAAGGGGCAGAAGTCTCTCCATCTCACCTTTTCCCTCTGTGTGCAGCACTGACGAAGGAGCCTGACAAGGGGAGCTTCTGGAACAGTCCATACAAGGACTCTAATGGACAAGGCCTTGTGGGAGATTGGGGTTGGAGGGGAGATAGGTAGGTAGTTGTTCAAAGGGGTCCACTTGCAAGCTCCAAGTTTCTTTCAAATCTACGCTCCATTCTACTACATTGAATATCCCTATTTGTTTTATTATAAAATTGTGCCATTACCCTCCTCCCCACAAATTAAAATTGGCATTCTGAAGGAGCTACCTTTTATCCTAAGGCCCCCTTACTCCTGGCACACAGCTATAAAGCCCTGAGGGTATGTGTGGCTTAGTCTGAAAAGCATGATTTTGGTGTAGTTACCCTTCATGTCAGTTACAGCTGAGGAACTGAGTCGCAGACGGACTCTGCTAGGAAACTGACATACCCAGAGACCCACATGTGACAAGTGGCCAAGCTGCGTCTGAACTCCTCCTGACTCCTGGTCCAGAGCTCTAGCTCTCTGTCTCTCTCACTCTCTTCCTGTCTCTCCCGCTCTCAGCCTCTCACTCTCTTGCTCGCTTTCAGTCTCTGTGTGGCTCTGACACTCTCTTGCCCCTGAGGAGCTCAGGGCTGAAGCACAGGGGCTTGGACGGTGGTCCGGGAAGACAAGATGGAAAGGGCTGGAAGGACACGAGGCATAGCCTCTGCCTAAGGGGGCATTATTTCTGGGCAAAATGCACTCTTTTCTTTCCCAGTTCTGCTGCTGGTCATTCTAAAAAGGCTGTGTGAGCAAGACCTCAAGCAGTACTGGAGGGTTCCAGGGTGGCTGCTCCCAGGCTGCAGGGAAAAGTGAGGCATGGATCAAGCAGATGGCTCCATGCCTCTCCTCTCTGTCCTGCAGGTAGGGCGTGAGGACACCGGCCACTCCTTGTACGACTACAAGGAAGCTTTGATGCTTCCAGCCTCACATGCGGTGAAACTGCCTTACTTTTTCCATGCTGGAGAGACAGGTGAGCCGTGCAGAGACAATCAGGACTGAGGAGGTGATGGGCGGGAGGCTCCTCGCCATTGCTCACGAGTGTCGATGGGGCCCTTGGCAGTGGAGGGGGTCTAGAGTCATTTATGGCCCTTCTTCATTTCATGTATGTCCTCCCTTTTCATCTCGACAGCAGCCCCAGGAGAAGGGACCACGCTGACAGTAATAGTACCAGGCACTTCACATATGTTATTTCTAATTCTCACTCCAGTCCTGCTAAGAAGTTGTTTTTATCCCCATTTTATAAATGAAGAGCCCAAGGCTCCACACAGTGTAACTGGTCCAAGGATAAAGGGCTGGTCAGTGGCAGGGTCTGAATCTGAGCACTTTGTGATGAACGGTGAGGTGAGGTGAACTCACCTGTCCCAAGTCACACACTGTTCAGTGGCAGAAGTGGGACTAGACTCGGGCTGCCCTGGCATCTAGGAGGCTCTGTCCACACGCAGCAGTGCTGAAGAGGAGCCCCTGTCCTGCCCAGGCAGCCTGGCTGCTCTCGTTCCCGAAATGTCCTAGCCCAGCCACATCTTAGTTCCCCAAAGCTCAGTCCACGGGCTCACTAGTCACTTCACAGCCCCTCCCGTATTCCAGTCCTTAAATGCATAAACCCTAAGCAAAAGGAGTATCAGATCATGGCTGCAATCTCAGATCGAAATGAAGATTTGGGGGCTTTGACTGGGAGGAAAGCTTGCTGCCACCCGCCCCCGGCGTCTCTCAGAACACCGAGGAGATGAGGAGAACGCGGTGGGAACTTGAGTTTCACAACCAGGCTCAAACCTTGGTTTATCACACCATCTCTCTGAGGAAGGGTCCCTGTGCATTAATCTCTTTTTCCTGACATTTTGAGTCACTTTAGATCCAATTTAGATCAAAGCTGTTCTAGGAGATTTGAAGAACTGTTTATGGGGGATGGGGAAGGGGGTTGCCAGCCCTGAAGAGCTTGTGGTCCAGTTGGGAAAACCGTGCCTACCTGTGTGAAACCACTTCAACAGTATGAAGCACTGTAACACAGGACCTACCCAAATTCCAAAATATATGGTTGCAGGAGAGGATTTTGCCAGGACTTGGGTATTTAATACCAACGAGTAATGTCCTTATTAAAAAAGAAGAAGAAGAGCCAGTCTTTGAAATCCACCTGAAGCACATGCCCTCACCAGCAGTGGGAATTGCTTGGGTTTGATTCCTGACAGAGAAGTGGAGTTTTCATATTTTCCATGTGGCATGCTTTGGGCTGCCAGGAATGGAATGCGCACATCCAACGGGTTTTACAGTAAGATTGTCTATTATCTCACATAATAAGCATATTATCTCACATAATAAGCAACCTATGCTGTCCTCATCGTATCTGGGATTTCGCCCAACTTGGTTGTGGGATAGTGAAGTCACATTCAGGTGTGACCGTATCCAGTACAGTAGAAGACGAGATGTCTCCTCCAGGGCATCTTCTTCTATTACGGCAGAAGCCTCAGGAGAGCCCCACCAATAACCTCCCAGGCCAGCCTTAGGGCTGTGCTAGCTGCTTGGGAAGCTGAGAGAGTCAGGACCTGTCATTTTCACCCTGTAAAGAGGGCCCACCTGCCAGGAAGGCACAGCAGGGATGGCTGCTGAGGACCAGCAACAGCATCTGCCACGACTTTGTTCATGCTGGCCATCATCATCTTGCCATTGATATTGTCCTACGAGTACTGTTAAAGTATAAATTAAAAAAGTATAAATTAAAGTAAGTACATACAAATAATTATATTGACAGAGTCTGCAGCACACTGTTGTAAAGATCATAAATATAAAATTCCCAGAAAATAGCTCTGGAAACAAACAAAAAATGGAAAGAAAGAATATGGACTGTGGGGTCAGATAGACCGAGGTTTGAAAGCCAGTTTTGCTACTTACCAGCCGAGTATCCTCCTTCAATTTATGAAGCCTTTGTAAGTTTCAACGTCCTCATCTGTTACATACATACATAGGTACCTGCACACCATACCTCTCTTTAGTATTGTTATAAGGAAAATGTGTGTGTGCGTGTATTTGTGTTAATGTGCGCTTCTCTCCCTTTTCTTGCTTGGGGGGTCTGAAGCCTTTATCTGAGGATGATCTGTGGGTCAGATCCATCCTATTTAAGATGACCCCTGTACCCCCAGACTGGCAGGGTACTTCCGTAGACAGAAACCTTCTGGATGCCCTAATACTGAACTCTACCAGGATTGGCCATGGATTTGCTTTGAGTAAACACCCAGCAGTCTGGGCTGACTCCTGGAAGAAGGACATCCCCATCGAGGTCTGTCCCATCTCCAACCAGGTATGCATGATCCATGGGACCAGTCCAGTATGATCTTTTGCCCCAACCTCAACCTCTGCTCTGATTCCCAAACTTTTTCCCGGTATAATTTCTCTCTCCTTAACTCACTTGTTTTCTGTATTCCTCCACTCTCTCCCTCCATTAGTAGAAACATTTAGGAATGGCCCTTTGCCCAAACCATTCCTCACAATGAGGCAGCAGAGAGGGTCACCGGTGGGGTGGAATTTTAGGCAAAGCTGTAGACAAACCTAAAGGGACACTGGGGAAGGCCAGGGAAGTGGGGGGGGCGGGGCGTAGGATCCTGCTGCTTCCACAGTTGCTCGGGTTCTCTGTGCACCTTCCTGTTGCTGTGTTGAGGAGAGCTGCTCTGCGCAGGACCGAGAGAGACCAAAGGTTTGTGGTGGTGATGAAACCCGGAGAAAAGCAGAGCATGAGGACTGACTCTATTCTTCCTGTCAGGACTTTGCCCAGAAGTCATCCCAATGTTCAGAATAGTGATGGGGATTAAAAGGAGCTGATTATGCTCTAGGGTCTCACCTCCCTTGTGATGACTCTTTTTATGGATCAAAATTTGTTTTTCTCCTTTGCCTCCTATTGGGCAGGTTCTGAAACTGGTATCTGACTTGAGAAACCACCCTGCAGCTGTTCTGATGGCCACCGGGTACCCCATGGTGATCAGCTCTGATGACCCAGCTTTGTTTGGAGCCAAAGGCTTGTCCTATGATTTCTATGAGGCCTTCATGGGCATTGGGGGGATGGTGGCTGACCTGAGGACACTCAAACAGCTGGCCATGAACTCTATCAAGTGAGTCTCCTGTGCACTTCCCACTCCCTCTTCCATCCTACAACTTGTGTTTACACCTCCCAGAGGTTTGGGGCAGAAGCCTGGAAGGTTTCTGTGGGTTTTCTCCACCTCGCCTCTGTTTTGTTCTTGCTCCTGGACTGAGGAGAAATGTGCTCCTCAAACATCTGAGATCCCCTCATACTGCTTGTCCCGTCCCACAACCCCTTCCCTGGGGCTGACCTGGGTGCTTCTTTTCCTGCAGGTACAGCGCCCTGTTGGATATGGAGAAAAAGGTGGCCATGAAAACCTGGGAGGAGAGTTGGAATAAGTTTGTAGCTGACCTGGCCAGGAGGCCAAACTGAGAAGGCAGCCATTCATCACCCAATTCTTCTCCTTCCCTCCACAAGCCCTCTTCATTTTCTTTCAATCATTCTTGAATCCACTCCAGTGTAGTCTCCACCTCCATTTCTTTATCAAAAGTGACCTTGTGAAGGTCGTCAGTGGACTCCATATTGCTTGAGCTCTCAGAAATCAGTTGACCGAACTCATCTTTTTGAAATACTCTCCTCTCAGCCTCAGTGACATCAACTCTCTTCGTTTTCTCCTTTCTGGGCATTGCTTCCAAAGTCCCTTTTCCAGATGCTCCTTCTCCATCTGATCTCTGTGTTGAATTTCCTCAGTGCTCAGTCCTGCCTCTCTTGGTTCTTGTCTCTTTGTTTCTCTCTTCTACTTTTCTCTTCTCTTCTCACTATCTACTCTTTTCCTAGTCTCATTCATTCCTTTGCTTTTAAATGCTACTTATTTACTGATGATGCCCACATTTATTTATTCACTTGGATGGCTCACAGGAATCTCAGAAACCTCCCTTGTGCACTTGTGAATTCTCAATCTCTTTCCTTTCAACCTTGTCCTGGTCTTTCCCATCTTGGTAAATGGCACTTCCATCCATTCCACACAGTTGCTCAAAGGAGAAATTTTCAGTGAAATTCCTGATACTCCTCTCTCCCCTGGTCCCTCCATCAAAATCTCTCTTGATTCTATCCACCCCTCTCCACCTCTACTGCTATTGGCTGAGTTGAAGCCACTATCACCTCTTGCCTGACTTTTGACAACAGCCTCCTAATTGATCTCCTCATTTTTGCCTTCTCAAATTCATTTTTCATGGAACAATGGCTTTCTAAGAATTAAATTAAATCAGGTTACTCCATTGCTTACAACTCAGTGCACTTAGAAAAACTCAGATGTCTCAACAGGGCATATAGCATCCTGTTTAATCTGGACCCCTTTCAGCATCATCCCACCCCAGTCGCCCCTAGTGCACCAGACTCTGGCCATACTGGCCCTTTGTTCCTCAGCTGTGCTAAGCTCTATACTACATCAGGGTCTTTCTCATTCTCTCTGCCTGGAATGTCCTTGTGCGCACCCTTCAGGTTTCAGGTTTCCTGTCATTGTCTCAGGAAGTTTTCCCAGAACCCTAACCTGTTATTCTGTCTCACGGCACTTATTTTCCTTCATGACTCTTATCACAATTCGTAATTACATATTTATCTCTGTGTTTGTAGTCTCTCTCCCACCAGACTGTAAGCTCCCTATGGGCAGGCACGAATGATTTATGTACATGGTGAACCCAGAGCCTAGCTCCATGCCCTGCACCTAGTCAGTACTCAATAAAAGATGTGTTGAATGAATAGATACAACCTGTATGTATTGAGCTGGTTACTGAGGCAGGAGAGAGCAGAGCAGAGTCTCCCCAAACACAAGACCTCGTGGGATCAGATTCTGGCTCCTGGCCTGGTCTTTGGGAGAAGAAAGGCCTTGTCCTCACTTGACTACAGGGTGTGAAGGAGAATCAAAGAATTCCTCAAAAGTCCTGGGTGGATTCAGATGTCTTCTCCTCCATCATCCATCACCTGCATCTGAGCTCTCAGGCAGCAGCCAACCCGCTCTCCATTTGTAGTTTATCACTGTTTGGTTCATGGTACTGGGAAAAGCCTTGCTGACCAGGAGGCCTCAACCACAGGCTGATTCCCAGATGGAACAAAATGACCTCTAAGATCCTGTCTACTTCTAAGGGTCTTTGATTCATTGCCTTAACCAACTCCAGTAGATCAGCTGACTTACTTTTTTTTTTTAAAGATTGGCACCTGAGCTAATATCTGTTGCCAATCTTCTTTCTTTTCTTTCTGTTTTTTTTCCTTCTTCTTCTCCCCAAAGCCCCTGAGTACATAGTTGTATATTCTAGTTTTAGGTGCTTCTGGCTCTGCTATGTGGGACGCTGCCTCAGTGTGGCTTGACGAGCCGTGCCATGTCTGCGCCAGGGATCTGAACTGGCAAAACCCTGGGCTGCTGAAACAGAGTGCGCGGACTTAACCACTCAGCCACGGGGCTGACCCCTGACTTACATTTAATACATGGTGAAAATGGAACGTAGTAGAATGGGCTTCAGTAGCAAGTTGCCATGGTTACTGGGGTCTCCCAGGAGTGTAAGGTCTCTGGCCTGGCCTCAATGTAATCTCTGATTTGGCAAAATAAACCAGCTACAGTCTTGCCTTCAGGGCTGGTTCAATAGGCTGAATCCTAGCAGAGAACTAGGAACACCAACAGAACCAGAATCTGAGTTATGAAGATCTGGGAACAGGTTGTAGCCCCCTCAGACCTGAGTAATATTTCTGCTGGGGGTAGAGTAGATGAAGCTGATTTCACTCATTCCTCCTGCAGGACGTCCCAGAGGGTGCCCTGACAGAAAGGTCTTTTGGAAAAAATGTGTCTTAATTGAATTTCAGTATACAAATGAGGCTGCATCTGGGGACTTGCTAGTTATTTAAAGAAAATCTGCAGCAAAGCTTTCTGTTAACAAGATGTCTTTTTGTAATTTGAATTCATGCAGTCTATATTTTTTAATTTATTTCTTAGAGTGAGGTTAAATCCTTTTTCCTTCTTTGTCAGATGAATTGTCTGGGCTGGAAAAACCTAAAGGCCCCTGCCTGGAGAGTCCCTGACATGCCAGGATCTTTGCACAGCATGTCCCCACTGTCTGGCCTGTGGTGGACGCCCCAGCCAGCTGCCTGTTCTCGGGTCCTGAAATTTTGCTTCTGTCGGCACAGCGCCCTGGAAGGGCAGGACGGCTTCTAGAAATTCAAAACAAGGGATTGTTGTTGGAGATGTGAATCATCCTTTTTCCCAGCTGGTTAGAAGTTGGGCTTCAACTTCAGGGAAAACCATGGAACATCTATCTTATTATCTTGAAATGACGTGAAACCTTCAGAAAACTTGCAAGAATACTACAAAGAACTCTGAGATACTCTTTGCCCAGGTTCCCCAATGTGAGCATTCTACATTTGCTGTATCATTCTCTATCCATACCCATATCCAGATCTCTCTTGATGTCTATATCTGTATATCCTATTTTTTCTAACCAGTTGAGACTTAAGTTGCAGACACTATGCCCGTTACTTCTAAATACTCCAGTGTACATTTCCTAAAGACGGTGCCGTTCTCATATGTAACCACCCTAACCATCAAAATCAGGAAGTGAACACTGACAGGATACTACCATCTGGCCCTGGCCCTTCCAAGCAGTTTTTTCTGGCCCAGAATCCAGTCCAGGATCACGTGATACATTTGGTTATCAACTCTCTCTTGTCTCTTTCAGTCTGGAACAGTTCCTCAGTCTTTCCTTGTCTTTTGTGACCTTGACATTTTTGAAGAGTACAAGCCAGTCGTTTTGCAAAGTGTCCCTCATTTCGGGATTGTCTAACGTTTCCTTGTGAGGAGATTCCAGTCATGCACTTGTGAGAGGAATGCCTCAGAAGTGGTGTCTTGTCCTTCCCAGTGCGTCGCATCAGGGGCACGAGGGCCAGGACCTGCCGGCCGTGGTCTGCACCAGCAAACAACAGCCAGTCACTGAAATTTCAGTCTGTTGTTAAACCAGCAGCAGTCCGAAATTCGTCACTGTGGGAGTTTTCACACCGCAGAAATCAGCAAATGTTAGGAATCAGTGCCCTGCCCCCAGCAGTTGTTAAACATATCCCAGCACAGCAACGCAGCCAACTTGTTTGTCCTATTACGATGCCGTTAACTTTGGTCACTTTGTTAAGGTGGTGTCTACCAGGATTTGCCACTGTAAAGTTTTTCCCTTTGTGACTAATAAATATTTAGTGGGGAGACATCATAACTCTATGTAAAAATCTTATTCCTCAGGAAAGCTTTACCCATTTGTTTTTGCCTCCATTAGGGTCATTGTCTGAATCTGCTGTTGCTATGATGGTTGCTCTTCCAGTTATCTGTGCTGTGTAACAAATTATCCCAAAACTGAGTGGCTTAGAAAATAATAAATTATTTAGTTTTGTTATTTATCTATCTCTCACAGTTTCTGTGGGCCAGGGATTTGGGAAGGGCCAGCTGGGCAGTTCTGGGTGGGGTCTCTCATGGGGTTGCAGTCACAGTGGTGGTGGAGCTGGGGCTGCTGGGAGCTGGCCAGGCTTCACCTGTCTCTACACAGTCTCAGAGCTCAGTCACGCGGCCTCCTCCGCGGGCGCCAGTCTGGGAGTCTGCACTTCAGGGCAGCCAAAGGCTTGAGAGTAAGTCTTCAGGGAATAGAGCAGAAGCTCTATTGTTTTTTCTGATATAACCTTGGAAGTCACATGTGTCACTTCTGCCATACTCTATAGGTCATATCTCTCTAGTCTAAACTCTCCTGGTTTCAAGAGGAGGGAACAGAGACCCTACCTTCTGATGGAAGTCTGTCCAAGTCACATTGTAAGAAGGGCATGTACGATTAGAAATATTGTTAAAAAATATTTTGGAAAATACGATCACCAAATGGTGACTTTCTAGTGCCACTATTTCTTCCATATTTATTAGTTGCCATTCTGCTGTAAGGAAGAGCTTCCTCTCATTTGTTTATTTATTTATCAGCATGGCTCATGGATTCTGACTCTATTCGATGGACTATAATCTATTACTATCATTATGTATTTTGATGTCACACCTTCCAGATTTGGCCATGGGAGCCCTGTCAAGCTGACTCCTGTGACTCTTTGATAAATCTCTATAATTTTTTCAGCACTTCCTTACTTTCTGACACAATAAAATGTTCTAAGTTTATTTTATGTTTTCTCTATCTCATGCTGGAGATCAACCATTTCTCCAGAGAACTCTGGTTCTTTTAAGTAGAGAATAGTACTTAGAAGCCTTAATCTGGGCATTAGATGTCCCCTTGGCTACTGGTGTGTGTGTGTGTGTGTGTGTGTGTGTGTATACACACACATAAATATGATTTATATATATATATATATACACATAAATACAACTTATATATTTAAAAATAGAAATACGTATTTATGCACATAAATTTATATCTATTTTCCACATACATTAAATCTATCATTTTACACATATATATTTATACACATTAAGTCTACTTTCAAATTTATCTATGTATATTAAAAAACCATGAGTTTGCGCCCATACCTCCAAGTCCATTCCACACCCTAGCGTTTTTTCCAGCCTCTGCTCTTCCCACCTCTATAACTCTGTTCCCCGCAAGTAAGAAACCTGGCTCCCGCTGTCCTCAGTGCATTGTTATATTTGCTCATTCCTCTTGTGCGTAGTCCATGTTCCTCTCCTACTGCCGCCTCTTTAGCTGGCCCCACAGGTCCCTCTGGTCCCAGATGCCTCAAACGAAGGGAGGGGAACCAATCAAGAAAAGGGAAGGAGAGGGAAGAGGAAAAGATTTGGAAGAAGAGGAGAAAGCCATGGAGTTTTTAGAGTGTGAAGTGGCCCCTAGACTGGGGACAGGTTTACAGGCGTCACCGAAGCTTCCGTTTCAGGGCTTGCACACGCGTGGGCCTCTTCTAAGAGAAATTGTGTATCAGTGAGTTTAAACGGTCTTTCTTCAAGGGCGCCCTTCAAATACGTGTAAGCCTCAGAAGCCCACAAAGTCTGAGTCAGTTCTTCATCTGGAATGAGGACAACGAGGGGGAGGTACATTGGCTTCAGAAGACTGACTAACACGAGATGAACATTATAAGGTCCTCAGCCTGGAGGGGACCCTGAAAGGCTAAACCGTGTCCCACCTTCTGGGGGAGCGGCCCGCCACTTCATCAGGAAGAAGTGCCTGTTTGTTTCAAAGCGCACCAGAGTAGGCTTCTGTAGCCCGCCTCAGCCAGCAAAGTCCAGAATCCCCAAACGTTCTTTTCCCAAGGCCAGGAATCTGAATGATGATGTGACCCTTGCCCCTCACAAAAACTGACCGCTTGAGGATTGGATATATATAAACGTATCTATAGGCCCAAATTAAGTTAGCATGCTAGATTATAAACATGTATTATTGTCACATACATAATATATGTATGTTACTTTAAATAGCAGTCATCCTAAAAATAACGTAACCTTCCTTGTCCTTTCTCCTCTGTCCTGGGAAGGATATGAATAAAACCCTGGGCCTGGAAGAGCTGCTGGGGTGTTGCGAGCATGGCTGGGGCAGGCAGCAGCTTCGACTGGCTGGGCCCTGAGCAACGCTGCTCCCTCAGGCGGACGCAGTGTGAGGCCAGGGCAGAGGTGCGGGTTCATTCTGCCCAGGCTTCTGAGCTGACAGCCTCTTCCTCCTCCACCTGCAGCATGGCCCGGACCCAACCTTCTAAAGGGCTTTTGCCTGGGGACTGTCCAGAGACCACAGTCAGGGGGACAAGGTTTG